TCTTCATACAGTGATGCTTAATTAGTGTCTGGCCCTTTGCATAACAGTAAGAAATCACTCATGTTTTCTTGTGATCCTTTTCTGAAATTATTCAAGGAACAGCAGACTTGGAAGAAAGATCTTCAGAAGTGAAAATTCTCATACCAACTAATTTCTTTCATTTGTGACATGCATCTGTGTCCTTTCTCACAAGAATTCCTTTGCCTGCTTGTTAATACTGTTAATTACACACACTGGTTGGTCTCTGTAGAACAGGACCACTGAACGAGTCTCTTTAAATCTCTTCCTGGTTTGCCAATATGTCTGTCCTGACAAGCATGGCCCCTGGCTATTCTATAAGTTCTTAATCAATGTTTGAAATATTGAAGTGTCCCCTTGGAAAAAAAATCCATCTTTCTATGACTTTTTTTTTAATCTTTCCATCACTCTGTTACCACCTCTGGAACATTGCTTGGGTTTTTCAGTTTAACTGTTTCTGTTGTTGTCTGTACTCATGACTTAATAACTGTATACTTCATCTATCAGTTTTCTCTTTCTAGATCACTTCCTATCCAAGGATGTATGGTTACCACCAGTTGTGCTGGCCTGATGACTCATTGCAATTGCAATTCAAAGTGGCTCTACATTTTCAAAACTAAAGTCTTGTTTCAACCTGTTTCTCTGCCCCTCTAGCCAACTATTTTCTTGCCTCCCTGTTCTCTTTCCAAGGTCTTCACCTCTTTCTTGCCCTCTTTTCTGACTCGAGCATATTTCATCATGTTTACAGCTCTGGGTTTTTCTCCCAAAAGTAAACACTGCACTCTGCTACTTATCAATCAGTCTCAGTGTTATACTCTCCCTGCCCCTGGTTTTTGTCCCGGTTGTGTAGACATAAGCCTTCCTGGCCACCTTCCCCCTCCTATCTATTTCCTTCTCAGGGAACCTTTAGCTTTGAGGGCTTGGAAGCAGCTATAATTATAATAATTGCTCTCTCTTCAGGCATGCAGGGAAAGGCTGTATTGCATGTGATAGACATGTATGTCAACTGAGCCCACATGGTGATATAGGGAACAAGTAATCTTTACTATTCTCAGTTACAAGACTATTGGAAAAAGTCCTTAAAAGTCATCCTACTACAGCAAAAGGAATCAAGAAGTTGTGTTGTAATATGGTTGCAGTGTCTCTGTTTCAGTTGGAAGTCTAGTTTTCAAATCTATTTTTCAATATTTAACTAATTTCTGCATTTTTTTTTCCTTTTCAAATTGTACTATATGAAATTTATGTTTGCATTGGTATTTGTTTGTTAAATTTGTAAAATTTGGAATTTTAATTCTTTTAAATTCTATCTGCAACAGCTTTTAAACAAAGTGGAAAATAGTTACGTTCATAATTTTTGTAAGTCATTTCTTGTAGTGGAAAAGGATTATTTTTAAAGGTTTGTAGAAAAAAATGACATCTTCAGTCAGGTAATAAATTCAGATGTAGTTCTTCCCCCTCCCTTTTTTTTTTTTTGCCTGTTTAGCATTTTCCACTTTTTTACTCTGTGATGTACAAGCCCTTACTGGTTAATTATGTATATATTTAGCTACTGCATGTGTTGGGCTTATTATTGTCATCTAATTAGATGTAACTCGAACTACTTGCTTCTAGAAAAATCATTAAAAATTCTTTCCTAATGACCTAGAGATGACAAAATGTCTGTAAAGTGTGAAGAAGCAGACAAGCACAGGAACATCGCTCTTAAAGAGTGTTAATCCAGATGCTGCAATCATCTAATTAAACAATATTTTGCTGTCATTAACATTTTCACCAAGGAATTGCAGTTATAATTTCTTTGTCAGCTGTCTCTAGCTCACTTTACCTTCAAAACTAAAGTGCCATATAAAAACATTAAATTGGATGGTTTAATTAAAAAGTTTTTTTTAATGAAGAAGCATATCCAGTATTTCTGAGATCTCATTTACTATGCCTCAGTTTTATTGTTCAAGTAGATTAGTGTCACAGGCTTGTGATATTTAATATTCAGCCTATAATATTAATCTCTGTAAGCTTACTTGGGGGAAAATCTGAAGCCTCTGAAAAGATATAGGGACTACCAATAGTGATACAGGTTTGTGTTTTATATTTATATAAAATATAGCAAAAGAAAGAACCAAATAATTCTTGCTGGAAGCATCAGACAATTGATGAAATAGCTAAATATATTCATACACTGACTTTACACTGAAAATAATCATTGTGAGGCCAGAACTGATCTAGAAAGCATTCCTGATAAGGTTAAACCACTAAAATTTATGCATGTTTAGAATTAGGGATTTGTAATCCCATTATAGGCCTAGATCAGTGTCGTCCGCTCGTATAAGCATAGATGTGTGGTCTTATCTCATTGGGTAGATTTGGTTTCCTTTCACAATTAAAATTATGGTTCATTTTGTCAAGTAATTTTTATTTGTGAGTATTAAAAAGAAAATTTTTGTACTGAGGAAAATGAACCACTGATGTCTTTACTAAAAAATTAATAACTATTCTTAGTAGTTAATATCTTCATAAATAAAATACGTTTTACAAATATTGAAATCAGAAAGAAATAAATATTTTGTTTGTTTTTGCACAAACTATGGCTGTATTTACCAAGTACACAATCACCAAGGCTCTTTTGTTTGTAACTTATCCTACCTAAGAAAAGAGATAAGCTGCTTTAAATTATTTCTCATTGTGGGGTAAAAAAATGCACACAAGAGTTACTGCAGTGCCCTGACATGCAGCTAATTCAGAATAATTTATTCATATGTCCATACTATACCTATCAAAATCACACAGCCAAAGAGAATTTGTGTACAACAACTAGGCTTGAAATTGCTTTTTTTTTTGCACTGTTAACACATTTATGATTTCCTCATGTGGAATAGGAACAAAAAGTCAAAATATTGTTGACTGATTATTGACACTGAAATGAGATTAAGTAAATTAATATTAAAATTAAATAAAATTTCAATTTTAACATAAATAATAATTTGGGATAACTCTAAATTCCCTTTCAAAGTTTTGCAAAAAAATGTTCTCACCTTCCTAAATGTTTCTATATTTTTTTTCCAGTTGATGATCTTTATTAATGTGAACTCTTTTCTCTTTCTATGATTTTGAAGAACCATCGTTTTTGCTTATGCTTTATAACAGACTACAGTAATCTCAGTCATTCTCTTCCTGAATCTCAAATTTATTTTAGTCTGCTGTCTACACAGACACAAATGTCTTTCTTTTGTGGAAGCTTTTGCACATTCTTCTGTTAACTTAACTGAGGATTTTGATGATGAGAAAAACATTATTTATGTAAAGATGTAGTTCAGAAAGGCCATATTTTATTGAACCTGAAATTTGGCAATACCAAGGAAGTTTACAAATGGTATATAATTAATCCCTTACCAAAGAAGAAAATAATATTTTCATTTGATGGATGTGAAAAATGAGGCAGTCGCCTTAGTTCAAGACATATAGAGTCCTCCTCCGAAAAGCCCTAAAACAATTAATATTATGCCTTTCCTTTTCCTCCCTCATGTGGGTAAGTTCTGGTGTATTTCTTGATTTAGTTGTTTGATACATTCTTATTCTGTCCAAGAGGGGTTTTGCATTCATTCATTGTTGATATTAAAGAAGAAGTGGTTTTGTTTCTGACTCTTTGTGTGTGGTGCACAGTGCTGTGATTGCTTTTTTAACAAAGTTCTATTTGCACCTCAATTTTTTTTTTTACATTCTTGTGAACATCTCTGTGTTCAAAGTGTAAAAATGAGGGCACAGAGATGTTAACAATATGTACTTTTCCTGTTTTCAATGAAACTATGTACAAAATAGAAACATGCTTCTCGTTCACCAACTTCTATTGAAAAAATAAGGTGTTTGTAGAGCAGTGAAAGTTTCACATTTCATTAAAGCAGAGCTGATGGTTTTTTTTTAGAGAATTGCAAATGTTACTCAGCACAAGGAAGCCTGTGTTTTCCTGTCCCAGGTTTTGTACCCCAGGAATCTGTCCAGAATCTGGAAGGAAGCAGTTAGTGAGACGGGGCTGTAAATCTGCCGCAGGACTGGGAATTGTTAACCTGGGTTATTTCAGTCTGCTAATTATATTATATAAATACACACACACATATATTTATGACCTGATTTTGTTTTTTAAGGCTCGTGTTGCATATTGTGTGGTTCTCAGTAAATCAATATGGTGGATGGTTCTGTACTAAGCACCTTAATTTGTCTTATCACTGAAATGTTAGATACTACTAAATACCAGCTGACACAGAAACAGGAGCCCTTCCCAAATACACTTTTTTCCTGATGATGAATTCATAATTTTCCGTTCACTTCAGTTGCAGAGTGTTCTTTTGAAACTGTATCTAAAGATGGGTTTTGCACATTGGAGCTGCTGGGGTGGCAGCAATATTTCTTTCATTATGTTTGGAGAGAGTTGCCTGGGGCAGTCAGCTCTGTCTTTTAGGGGGAAGAAAATGTTTTTTAATTTTCAGAGTGGTTACGAAATAGTGCTAAAGCAAACATGACTTCCTCCACTTTAACTGCACTATTGCAGTGAATTCTCACCACTTCTTCGGTAAAGAAGAGCCATGGCGGGTAAGGGATTAATATGGTCTAGATACTTAGGATAGACCTAGATTTGCACACCTCAAATATAGCCCCCTGCTCTTTAGAATCTTATTTAATCTTTGCCAGCTAATGACACTACAAACAGTTGCTAGGAAAATAATACTCTAGTAGGCTTAAATTTCATCATTCGTGCTATGAAAATAGCTTCATGGAAATAAGAAAGAAAATGTTTATTGACATATGGTGTGTTTTAGCTGATTTTGAAAGATACTGTGCTCTTTGTGTTATACTGACTCCCGCATTGACCTGCAATTCAAGTTAAAGTCATCTAAATGGCTACTTTTGTCTGGAAGATTTATACCTGATTCTGTTAAGTGCTGGGAACTGGGAACATGTGATGCAACAAAAGTAACAGCTATATTGTTTTTCAGATGGAGAAGTGGACACTATTTCCTAATTCTTAAAACTCTTTCTTTCTTAATAGGACGAACGTACAATGATCTCAACCAATACCCTGTATTTCCATGGGTTTTAACAAACTATGAATCTGAAGAGTTAGACCTGACCCTTCCAGGCAACTTCAGAGATCTTTCAAAGGTATGCTTCAATTCTACTGAAGAAAGCCAGCCAGCCCTTTCAGGAAGAAATTTTGGGTTATATTTATAGTTGGGTTAAGTCTTTATCTTACAAGTCAGAGAAGTCTAAAACAGAATTTTCTATTTCAAGATCATTTTATACTGAATCTCTACTTTATGCTGCTTCTGTGTCCTTGACTGATCTAGTTCCAAGCTTGCAACTCCTCTGTACCTTCTGACTTGTGGATCATGAGTGAATCAGACCACTTGATCTCACTAATTATCTCCCTTAGTTTATGAAGTCTGATCCTTTGGAAATAAAAAGCTTGGACTAATTTTTCACTTTATTTTGCAGTGACTAGAAGAGTAATACAATAGCAGCACCTCTTCTTGGTTTAATAATTATATAGTAAACAAGTATTTTGTATTTTAAACTCTGGAGTATCCAGTCCCTATTATTATTAATTATATTAATATTTATATATTTAAACACCTATATGGGTTTTGTCCTTCAATCAGACTTGGGCAGCTAGTGCTTTATAATAATACAGTTCCTAGTATTTGTTTCTCTAATAGCAGCAAACTGCTATCTATACCCAGCTCCAGTACTTGTGTCAACAGCCTGGAGAGAAGGTGTGTCCTGGCCAAGCATAGCAGAAGCATGTGGAGGGGCTAACTAGAATAAACACAAATAAATCCCAGTGTTTGAGTTGTAGGAAGTATCTTTTCTGGTTCCTATCAACCATGAAAGTGTGTGTACGTACTTATCAGTGAAGGTGGGTAGCCTTGCAACATCCCCAGCTTGAGGTTTCTGTTGTCTGACAATGACAGCTTTCCTGCATCCTTGCCACAGTTCCTCAGCCACTAGGGAGAATTTGTTCATACAAGTTGAGTGAGGCTCAAAGCCACAGGAGGCTGTTGTTTGCTGACTTCAGGATGAGGCTGGAGAGGAGAAAGTGACCCCCAAGGCCTGTTCAGCAACCCTTGCTTTCCTGTCTGCTGCTGGTGAGGGATGAGAGTTTCTGTGGCTTCTGCCCTTTAAGTCTGCTTTTCTTTCCTCCTTTTCCTGCAAACACACATCCTGGGCATCAATGGAGAGATCTCACCCTGGGTATCTCACAGTCTTGTATCACTACTGGAAAGAGTATGCTTACAGTACCTCCACACACATTGCAGCCTTTCCTGGAAGCCTGCTTTTGTGAGACTTCCAAAATAATTTGAGTAGGACTTGATTGCTTAGTAGAGAAGCATGCTTAGCAGACCTAAGTTTCCTCTCCCTTTTTTCTTATATAAATGAATAAATAATTAAAAAAAGGAAATTAAACTACATTTACAGTATGCCTCAAATGTAAGCAAATTAGTTGAAATTCTACTTACATTATGTAAAACTACCTGCTTTCCACAATATTATAGGCATGCTTCATAAATGTGTTTTTTGGTTCTGTAACACTATTGAAATCTGTGCCAGGAACAATGAAAGAAAATCTGCAGATATGAGTTAAAGAAAGACCAGTGATTGTCTTACACTGGCTTGTTCCTTAGCATGTATAAAAATATGTCTGGTTTGGAATTGTTTATAGTGATAAACCTTCATTAAGATGCTTGCACTTCTTTCTGGTACTCATAGCACGGAGTGTGGTGAAGTGCAACAGGATGAGGCAGCATCCCACCAGTCCTTCATTAGGTACTTAGTTTGGGTTGAATCAAAATTTTTATGACAGCCTAGTAAAGTATGTAGTTGCTACAGGAGGTATCATGATAGTTGAATAGATAGCTTTTCCCCATGAGTTAGTCAAGGCTCATTATGGAATTAGTGCTTGTACAGCTTATTAAGTATCACTGCACTCGTAGTAGTGCTCTCCCTTGAAAGGAAATGTAAAACCAATTCCCTGGTTATTATGTTTCTTCAAGAATCCATGCATTGCACACATCAGTATTTTGCCCTAGGACCTTTTTTTTGCCCAAGTTGATTGCTGTATTTTCTTATTCAAAAGCTACCAGTGGTTTCCTCTGGAAAAGCTAGGGGTTTTGACCACTAAAAAAAAGCCTACGCAGACTAGTTAAGGAGAGCAGTCTGCCAATATCTGGGCTTCATTTACCCATGGATGTGTGAGGAAACACATGCAATCTGTAAAATGTTGTGGGATCCCTGAGGATAAAAGAGGTGTAATTGTCAAATTTTTCCAGTTTTCGTTATAATAATATCTGATAGGTTTCATTTCACCATTATATTAAAAGGAAAAATAGATTCAGGATTTTTTTTTTTTTTTTTAAAAGGCAGTGGCCAGTTAATGTAAAATGTCTTATTTTGTGCACTTGAGCTGGTATGCATTACTTGCATCCTGTTTCAATTTGTGCATTATCAGTAAAAATCTTCAAAATCAGAATGTATCTGAAGTATTTCCGAGGCAATTCTGTTTTCATTTCTGATACTGTCTTGTATATGTAAGTAAGGCCCTTCTTTCCTGGTTAGGGGAGTGAAAATCCTGAGTAAGCTAGTGCTTAAAAGCAGGATTTAGTGATTTATTGTGCACATTACTGGACCAGGGTGTGCTATCAAGGCTCAGCCAGAGCTCTGGGACAGTCACACACAGTGTCCCTTCCATGAGGAGCCACTTCCTTCTGTCAGATTTCACCCTGCAAGGCAGAAATGTTCCTGCAGATTTGATGGCAAATCACAACCTCCAGCTAAGCTGTTGATGGATAAAATCTCTTTGCCAGTTCCTGACCTTCTGTCTTCCTGCATGTTTGCTCTTCTAAGGTTTCACAAAGCCTCAGTCCTTAATATTTAGTAATTAATACACCTCAAACAAATTTTTAAAACTATTTTAGAATTCTAACACTATTACATATGTGGTAAAAGCCCACAAAAGCAATTAAATGAAAAAACACCAATCATGCTTTGTTTTGTTTCTTTACAATAGTTTTAGTACTAAAATATAGACACTATATCTAAACTTTTAAAAAATAATAAATCTGTGTATTTTAGCGCAAAGTTCATACAAAACTCTAGTGGCAATTATGATAACTGACAGTGCTTCTTTTGTAATTTTTTAACCTTTGATACCTAAGCTTTCTGTATAAAATATGACATGCCACCTTTCCAATATCACAACACCTAAGTGAACACGCACAACAAATGCAATTCGTATGTTTTGTGGAGATGAAATTAGATGTGTTTGGCTTGCTTGTGTTGTCAGTGACAGGGTAAAACATATCCCTTGTGCATTTAGCTCAAACTTAAATATTTACACTTCTGCAAAGCTGTCTTGAACATGTAACTTGTCCTTTCCTTCCATTCAATTTTAGTCTGTTTTTATGTAGCACTTCTTACTGTGGGACTTTTACATCTAGATGTTGGTTGTACTTTCAGAACTGCTGTATTTAAATATTAGTCTGAAAATTCCTTTGCCCTTTTTCTTTGAAGTGTTTGGAGATTCCCTTATCAAAGCTTTTTTTTTTTTCCCTTTTACATGTAATTTGAGATTTAAAACTAGGGCCCATGGGCATGGAAGGTGCTGTAGCAATAGGATATATTGGACCTCTCATTTGATTAGACAGTGTAGGCTCAAGTTTTATTCATTACATATACAAGGTTAAAGGTTATATTTATTGTTTGACAGGATGAAAAGCTAATGAAAGAGGCTGTCATAGATACATAGATTATCTTTTCACTATCAAAACACCAGGTGATCTGCTTATTTTCTTCTTTACTGAGATTTCCTTTGGAAGAATACCTATGCTACTAAACATTAGTATAGGAAACATGTATGCAGCCCTCACTGTGCATTGAGTTTTTTTGGGTTTCAACACACTTAAAATGTGGTATATTTTGTTTGTGAAAAAATGTATGACTTTTACCCCTTAATTACAGTGAATGCATGGGTTTGACGTGCTGCACTGTCCCTGCTTATTAAAGTGTAAATGGGAATTCCTCCTCATTTACTTCCAGTCATACATCCTGTTAAATAAAATGATTTCTTCACCAGGCAAAGTAATACTAATATTGACACGTGTATGAAACATCACACGCCCATTCATTGAGTGGAAAAAATGATATTTTGTTAATATAGAAGGTGTTTGACTGACGGGTGGTGATAAGCATAACCACTTTTCCTTATTACTGTGCCATTTCAAGAAAAGGAAGTGATAAAGCCCCAAGGCTTCTAAATGTAATAATGCAAATGAACACATTGAAGTGTGAATATTTCAAGGCAAGCCACACTTAATACTTCCAAAAATGTGTATGCTGTGGAATGGAGTTTATGGCCTTATCAGAAGTCACTCTTACTGGAAAAATGAAATCAGTTTCTGTAACTTGAACTTCTCTCTTTACCACATGCAGCTTTACCATCAGAAGAACAGTGAGTTTGATTCTCATTGGGTTTAAGCCACACAGTTAAACATTTTTTTTTCCATAAATAAAAAGTTCATTTGCTGAGTGAAACTCTGGTACTTTGAATCTGCCCGAACTCTTATATTTGACAGTGTTGATATTTGTATGCTGAAGAAAAACTGTTTACAAATTTGGATAAAAATAGAATATATTTTAAACCTTCAGGTACCATCCTAAGGTGTCCTCCTTAAAGGTTGATTTTTGGTTTTGTTCTAATAAAAAAGCAAGCAGCCAGGAAAAGCACAGCCTGTATTCAGCCAGAGCCAAATAAAGCTATGCTCAAGATTTCTTTTGTACCAAGCTACAGTTTTGTGCAGTAAGTTACAAAAAAAAAAGAGATAAACAAATAAGGTAGTTGCTGAATGAATTAGAGTCAAAATAAGGAGAATATTTCAGTGGCTGGATAAATAGGATGCTACATTTGGTCCTGCTCTCATGACAGAATGCAGTTCTATGAAGATAGCTGGGAAAACAGTAAATATTACATGAACTAACATAACATGTCCATGGGATATAAACACTAGCTGTATTGACAATACACTGGTTCAAAGGCCAGATGTCTAAAGAGATTAGCCAGATAAAAAAGAATGACATGAACAGAAGTGTGGTTTTAACATTAAAGTAAA